GCACTGCAGCTACCTTAGAGCCCAGTGCGGAATCCTCCACACTTCAGCACCTGTGTGGCTGGCTGTGCGATCGCTCCTCCAGGATGGGGTTTGGCATAGAACAGAGTCAACATTCCAGCCAAACTTTGCTGTCTGATCCAAACGTATGTTTATAAGGAGATTTAGACTACTGTTTAGAGACCTACTAGGCTTGTTTTTTTTTTTAAGACAAAGTTTCATATGGTCCAAATTGGCTTTGTACTATATAGCTAAGAATGACCCTGAACTCCCAAGCCTCTTGTCTCCCCAGTGCTGGGATTACAAACCCTGCACCACTTTGCCCGATTTTTTCTGTACTGGGATCAAACTTGGGGCTTCATGCTAGACAACCGCTCTACTGACTGAGGGACAGCCCCATAGGCTAGCACCTCAAGAACATGTTCTTTCTCTTGCATGCTGTTTAAGAAGGTTTATTTCTATTTTGTGTGTGAGTGTTTTGCTTGCACGTATGTCTGCATACAGCATCCCTGGAGGCAAGAAGAGGGTTTCAGATCCCCTGGAACTGGAGTTTCCAACGGTTTGAGCTGCCGGGTGCCTGCTGGGAACTGGACCTGGGTCCTCTGCATGAGCAGACAGTGCTCTAGAACCACTAAGCAACCTCTCCACCCTTTCTTTCTTTCTTTCTTTCTTTCTTTCTTTCTTTCTTTCTTTCTTTCTTTCTTTCTTTTTCTCCTTCCCTTCTCACTCTGGCCCCCGCTCACTCTGGCCTTATTTATTTATTATATGTAAGTACACTGTAGCTGTCTTCAGACACCCCATAAGAGGACATCAGATCTCATTACGGATGGTTGTGAGACACAATGTGGTTGCTGGGATTTGAACTCATGACCTTTGGAAGAGCAGTCAGTGCTCTTAACCGCTGAGCCACCTCACCAGCCTGCCTTATCTGTTCTTAAACTAAGAACACTAAACTGCTTGAAGCGCGTAGAAGAATTCCCACTGTGCTACTTCTTTTTAAAAGACATTTATTTTATGTATATGAGTACTCTGTTGTTGTCTTCAGGCACACCAGAAGAGGGCATCGGATCCCATTACAGATGGTTGTGAGCCACCAGGTGGTTGTTGAGAATTGAACTCAGGACCTCTGGAAGAGAAACCAGTGTTCTTAACCTCTGAGCCATCTCTCCAGCACTCATGGTACTTCTTTAAAATTACAATGATTTGTGTGCACATACACACATTCTTGTGTGTCAAGATATACACATGGCACTCAGAGGACAACTTGCAGGATGGCTTCAGTTCTCTCCTGGGGACTGAACTCAAGTCATTAAGGCTTGGCGGCAAGTACCGTTATCTACTGAACCATCTTGGTGGCCTCACAATGGCTAAATATACAGTTCAGAGATGTTCAGAGTGCCACACTGTTGGGTAACCTTCATGGACTTTCTAAAAGTCTTCGTACTGAAAAGCTGTTCAATGGGTGTTCCAATGTCCTCATTAAACACCGTTTCTCTATGTCCCGCCCCTGCTGACCACCGTTCTCCTGTCCCTCCCGCCCCTGCTGACCACCGTTCTCCTCCCTAGGATGTCGACTCCCCTGGGAGTTCTCATCACACCGCTCAGCAGAGCTCAGTGTTCACCTAGGTTGGATTGTACTTGCCCTTTAAGGACCGCATAGTGAGCCATTGCATGTATGGACTACATTCTGTTTTTCTCTTCACCCACTGACAGGGTCCTGCTTCTATGTGGGTGTGCATGTCTCTCTCAGAAACCCCAGTCCCAGTTCATTTGGTTGGGAGCCCAGCAGTGAGCTGTGGAACACATTGGAATGTCATTTTAATGTTCTGGGGACATGCTCATTGTCGTCACAAGACACACTCTAGATGTTTCCACCCACAGAACACAGGACACCTCGGGATCCTCACTACACAGTGATGACACCTTGTGTGTGCATGCTTCTGCATGCGGGGGGTTTGGAGGTCAGAGGTCGACACTGAGTGCCTGACCCAGCCTCTTTATACCTTATACTGTCAACACAGGATCTAGTATTGAGCCTGGGACCCACAGATGCAGCTATGTCAGATCCACTGTCTCTGCCCTGAGGTGAGGCATGGATTACAGATGCCTGCTGCCACACCTTGCCTTCCACTTGGGTCCCGGGGAGTCAAGGTCTCCTCGTGCTTGTGCAGCAGACACTTTATGGAGTTACCCCACCCTCCTCACTCAAGATAGTTCAGTTTTCAAAAAAATTGTGTGTGTGTGTGTGAACAAGTGTGTATGAATGTGTGTGTGTGTGAGTGCATGTGTGTGGTGTATATGAGTGTGAGTGTATGTGTGTGGTATGTATGAATGTGTGAGTGCATGTATGTGGTGTATATGAGTGTGTGTGTGTTGTTTCTGTGTGTGTGTTTGTGTGTGTATGTGTGTGACACTACCATGTGCAAGTTAAAGGACAACTTTATCAGAAGTTTTTTTTTTTTTTTTTTTTTTTTTTTTTTTGTGGCTGGAGAGACAGCCGTGGGTGCTGGGAACCGAACTCTTATATTTTTGGTTGTGAGCCTAGCCTTTAACGGCTGAGCCATCTCTACAGCCCCAGAAGTTCATTCTTTTCTTCCATGATGTGGGTCCTGGGGATTGAACTCGTGTCTTCAGGCTTGCCAGCAAGTGCCTTTACTCACTGAGCCATCTTACTGGCCCAACCAAGCATTAAAAACCAAGGCTTTTGTTTATTTGTTTTTGCTTTTGTTTTTTAAACTAGCTGGTCAGGAGAGCACACCCCTTTAGTCTCAGCACTGGTAAAGCAGGGGTACATGGATCTCTTGAGTTTGAGACCAGCCTGGTGTACAGAGTGAGTTGCAGGAGACAGCCAGGGCTACCCAGAGAAATCCTGCCTTAAAAGCAATGGTAATAATGTATTCCAGCAGCAATAATAAATTAAACTTTATTTATGTGTATGTCTGTGTAGTGGGTTCATAATGCAGTGTGGTGCCTGGTGCCTGAAGGAGGGTGTCAGACTCCTGGAGTTTGAGCTGGTTGTGAGCCGCCCAGCATGTGTGCTGGGACCCTAATTCTTGTCCTCTGCAAGAGTGGTGTGTACTCTGACTGCTGAGACATCTCTCCAGCCCTCTAGGACATTTTAAAGACCATCATTAGCTGGGTTTCTGGTGCAGGTGTAACTGCAGTTACTCGAGGGGTTTAGGACTGAATTCCAGATCTTCCTGGCTTACACAGAGTGAGGTCTAGAGAACATTCTCAAGACAGAAAGAGTAAGTATGGCTGTGGTGTCCTGGGTGGTGGCACCGTGTCTAGCATGCCCGAGGCCCTGTGTTTAGTCTCTAGGATAACAAGAATGAAGAAAGACTACCATTTGCACCTCACAAAGACAGGTTTTAAAAATCATTTCATTTTATTGAAATATGCAAAAGTTTTTCCAACAGTCAAAAATAAGAAAATATAAAAATCAAGTCAAATCACAATGACAACAGATGACAGACCACGGAGTAACCCTATTTCGTGACACACGTCAGTGGAATTCACTTTCAGCTGGAGAGAACACAGTGGCCTGTCTGCTAGGGACAGCTCCCGTGTCTGCACCAGAGTGGCTTCACTCGTGGGTGCTTTGAACAGATCAACATTTTAAGAGTTTGAGCTTGGAGCTTGTGGGGGATTCAGAGACACGGTGGAGTAGGGCCCACAGCAGAAGTGCACTACGGAAAGATAGGGACTCTGGTTCCTGTGACAGGCCCTGGCTAATCTCAGCACCTCGGGCACTGAGTGCCAGCGCCAGGACTGGAAAAAGATATTCTAATGGGTGAGAATTTAAAAAAAAAAACACCTCAAATTCTTCACAAATACACATTTCATTATCAGATTTCCAGGTTTCCTCTCAGGGCCAATAATTTTTTAAAATGTAAATAAAATACTCTTAACAAAACAAAAGGATCAGAAACTGAAATGCTGAGAAATCATATAGGTATATCCTTTTTTTTTTTTTTTTTTTGAGAGACAATCTCATATAGCCCAGGCTGGCCTGGAGTTTGCTACGTAGCTGAGGATGACCCTGAGGTCCTCACCCTGCCGTCTCTACCTCCTGAGTTCTGGGAAGACAGGTGTGAACTGCATCACACCGGCTAATGAGCAAAGCCATGCTGCTAACAATGCCAGGGCAACTTCGCAGCTGGCAGAGAACTATAATTAAAGAGAATACAAGCCCAGCCTGGTGGCAAAGGCTAGTCATTCCAGGTACCTGCAAGACTGAGGCAGGAGGATGGACAGTTTTAAAGTGCAGCTGGGCTACAAAATGAGTTCAAATCCAGCCTGGACAATTTAATTTTTTTAAAAGTTGTGAGGAGGCTGGGGGCATAGCCTGGTGGTGAGGCACATGTCTAACTTGTGCCAAGCCCTGGGTTCAACCCACAGGCCCACAAAAGTGTGTGTGTGAGGGAGGGGCAAAAACTAAAGTTGAGCCTTGCTCTATGCCAAACTAAGAGCTATGATATATATTTTTTTCCCGGTTAAATTCTTTGTTTCTACTGCTCTATTTCTTTCTTAGATCCTGGGGTTGAATTTAGAATTCGTTAAAAGCATCGTGGTAGCTTTAAATGTCACGGATAATTCATCGGCATTAAAAAAAAAAAGACATATAATTCATTTTAGTGCTTAAAACCATAGTATCAGAAATATCGAGGGCGGGTACGACAACTCAAAAGATTTTCTGCCCTGACCACCAAGGTGTTAACTGGTCTGAGCTCCTGTGGAAACAAGTGTGACCTAGAATCTTTCCCTGGCTCATGCCGGGCCACCTGCCAGTGCCCAGAGAATAAGGCCAAGTGTGCCTTCACTCCAAACTCTGACTCTAGTATTTAGGAAAAAGCTGCAGGGTCTTGTTTTCTTTCTTTCTTTTTTTTTTTTTTCAAACATTTCTACACACTACCTCAAACTCTGGGAACAGGCGACCGCCGTGGCGGGGACCTTATTTCTAACTTGTTTCTTCCCGCAGAGGTCGCAGCATGGAGGGTGGGTCACTCCTCCATCATGTTAAAGATCATCTCACAGGTAAGGCCTTGGAGTGGGCTCTGGTTCCCCTCTGCACTTTCTTCTTGGTGGCCCAGAACCTGCTCCCCAGGACACTGAGGCTCCCCTGAGGTGATGCTCTCCTGGGCCACAACATCTTGGGGGTGGGGTGGGGGGAAGGGACAGAGAGAGAAAATGTGAGAGAAAGCCAAAACATGCAGATCAAGAAACCAGAAAGTATGTATTGAAGACAGTCGCTGCTGTTTGAGCCCAGCTGCAGGCGCAGAAACACAACCTGATTCTCAAACACTGGCCGGTAAGGGTAAGTCTCCTTGCTTTTAGGCAGGGCTCCTTTGTGAAGACACCGCAGGTCCTAAAGACCAGCAGCTTCCTCCATGAGATGCCTGTGGCCCACTTCTCTTCAGATGTGGCAAGCGAAAATATCACCAGACACGACCCAGGAAGTGGCTCAGCAGGCAAGAACCTGATCTGAGTTTGAGGGGTGAGTGTGTGCAGAGATGTAACTGTCATGAAGCCACTTTGAATAAGGCTGCCAAGCTCCCTTGTGACCTCCTCCCCGTTCTCACTGAGTCTCTGGCTGGGGTTAACAGTGGGGTGGAGGTTGGGAGAGGGGGCAGAACACTGCCAGATTAAAGCAAAGTGGTCCAAAAGGACATACCTTCGTCAAGTCCTGCTCCTCCCTCTGAGGCCTCTGTCCGCGTCACTGGTCTTCCATTCTTGGAGGAGGATAACTTCTCATGCTCCGGGTCACACTTCTTTCTGTGTCTCTGCAGGTTACTCTGTGGAAGATGAGACAGGCCCCTGGTGAACATCAGCGTCTCCATGTGCAGTATGCACGAGGCAACTCAACAGGTAGAGAGAGGTACTTGTCTACTGACCCTAGTTGGTGCCTGGGGACCCACATGATGGAAAGAGAGCGCTCACTCCTGTAAGTCCTGCTCTAAGCTCTGCATGTGTGCTGTGGCATGTCACACACAATACACCACAATATACATCAATAGTTATGTATATTTTAAAAGGAGGCCTTCAGAAAGATAGCAGGCAAGGTGCACCTTTTATATTTTGGACCCAAAGCAAAAAACAAACCCAAACAAAATGACCTTTAAAGTGTGTGTGTGTGTGTGTGTGTGTGTGTGTGTGTGTGTATCTGCACCTGGGTGAAGGTGTCTCTGGAGGCCAGAAGTGGCCATCAGCTCCCCTGGGGCTGAGTAGCATAGGATGGTGAGCCATCTGATGTGGGTACTGAGAACCAAAGTTAGGTCCTTCACAAAGTGACACATGCTCTTCCCTGCTCAGCCGACTCTCCAGGCCCCCCCCATGACTTTTTTTAAAATATATTTAATTTTTTCGTGTGCACTGGTGTTTTGCCTGCATGTTGGTCTGTGAAAGTGCCAGATTCCCCTGGAATTGGAGCTACAGTCAGGTGTGAGCTGCCCTGTGGGTGCTGGGAATTGAACTTGTGTCCTCTGAAAGAAACGCCAGTGCTCTTAGCCACTGAGTCATTCTCCCCACAGTGATTTTTTTTTAAAGGGTATCCTCCCTCTTATAATTAAGTCTCGCCAAAAGCTAGCTTGTTTTAATTTTTAAAATAAGAGCTGTCAAGAAGACAGAACTTATCTTTCCATAATGCTTCTTCTCAGTAAAGTGAGAGGCCTAACAGTAAACTAGAAACTCAATGCACCGTCGATTTCTAGGCCATTGGAGGCCTCTCGCCCCTAGCTGCTTTCCTGAAACCTGAGCGCAGGACCCAGGCACCGTGTTTGAACCACACCAGGGCTCAGAAAGGAAGGCTGGGTGTGGTGATGGATCCTGTCTGGAATCCCAGCTGAGGAGGAGCCAGAACTAAGACAGTCAGGTATAAAAGCAGAGCCCATTTCGGCTGAGTGTGCTTGCTAGCCCAGTTTGGGTTTGAGTTTGTCCTTTGTACAAAAGAACTTGCCCCACCAACGTACTTTCAATTTGTGTGTCCCTTTGTATGACACGGAGAACAACGTGATGGTTCTTCTAGGATTTCAAATCTACCTGGGAGGGTGTCGTGATCCCCCGCCTTGGGGGAAGGCACACCCCACTCTCACTGCGATAACACCCGGGGTCTCAGCAACACTGTTTTAGAAAATGATCTCAGGACAGAAAGTTTCTCAGCAACAGATGGAGGGCCAGGGAAAATACCATGGTGACCAGGAAATTCTTGTTCCCAAGACCCAGGTAGGAATGGCAAAGAGTGTCGAAGTGCTCCTTGGTGGCTTGGTGGCTGGGGTGGGTGGCCTTTGGGGTTGAGTAAGAGACTGAATGAGACACGTTGTTGACCCGGTATGAAAGGAAAAGCTGGATTCACAGCTCCACATGTGTCCCTGTGGATTCTGATCGTTAAGAAGCATCAACATAGGCTCTGCCCTGTGTGTGTGTGTGTGTGTGTGTTGAAGAAGAAACCAAACGCACACTACAAGGACCTCCATCACCAGAGGCTGAGATGCAAGGAGCCTCTCTATGTGGGGCTGAAACTCAGGAATCCAGGACAGGAAACAATTAGGTCAAATAAGGCTCTAAAGATGTGCCTCCAGCTGTTCAGGAGTCACATGATCCAGCTCATGCAAAGGTCACTTATCTTTCCCAGTGTCCCCATGTGCTCCCAGGATCACAGCGCCACCTCTGGGCTCTGGGGCACACGTCTGTTTTCTCCACTTCTTCATGAGCCCTTCCCCAGTACCAGCTTGTATCTAGGAGCTGGAGGGAGATTAAATCAAGGCCCAGGGCCCGGAGAACACTGCCTAGCATCCATTCAGTTACAGTTTGCACTAAGACATACAGACCCCCGTTTCTTGCTGTGAGAACGCGGAACGCCTTCTTTGTTTAATTGCTTTTTTTTCCGCCAATGTCCAGGCCACATGTACAGCCTTTCCCTAAAGCCGTGCTGTCCTAACTTGACATCCGTCTTAGGGTTTCTATTGCTATCATAAATAACATGACCAACAGCAACTTGGGGAACTCGGCTGGGATGTTCCTCTGGGGGGACATTGAGATCATTCTTTCCCCAATATATTTGTTCATAGTGGCCTACCCATGTGTGCTGTGAGTCTGTAGCAGATGCTGCCTGAGAAGCTGTGACTATTTATCCTATTTACAGAGGACATTTGTGCTTCCCAGTTTTGCATAGTTGTGTATAAAGTAAAGCTTGTTTTTAGTCCGACACGAGCCATGCACGGGCTGCTCCCCCAAGCAGCGGAGGAAGCAGCAACTGACATGCCTGCCTCGAATAAAGATTAGGGCTGGGAACGCCTGGTATATATGCTGAGTTAATACACACAAATACAGACCTGTCAGCCTCCAGAAGTATTGTGCCAAGGATGCTAAGTGTGGCATTTTTAGACTCTTCAGGACACAGAGACAGTGGCATGTGACAAATCTCTGAGCTGGGATAAAAAAGAGCACCAGAGATGTCACCTGGGTCAGCATTAGGGCCACCACTGGAAGGGGAGTCACGTTGCTGGCTGGTAACATTCAGATACAGAGGCAAACTGATGTGTGCGTTAATGAGCAGATAACTTGTGAAGATGCTTAGGTTGCAGCTTGGGATAAGTCAGTGCACGCTTGCCTGCAGTCTCCCGCCCCTGACCAGCATCCTGACAGAGAGCAAATGTCTACATCTGTAACAGGCTCCTGGTACCAGGACTTCAGACAAGAATCGTGAGGTCCCAGATCAGACAATGGCTTAAATTGTTCATCTACTGTCTTAGTTGATCCTGAAACTCCCTGCTGCCACAGAGACAGACACCCTACAGAGAGCCTGACACCAAAGGGCCACCAGTGTGTTTGTGCGCGTGGGACTCCAATTAGACATGCCCCTCCTCTCTATATTAGAGAAACCTGGCTACAGGCTCCTGCTGTGAGACCTATAGAGGGCCTCATTCTTCCTTATCAGATCCCACGCCACGATGCTGTCTGTCTGTCCATGGTATTGATGACTTTTTTACCAGAACTTCTTATCCAAAATCCATTCCTGCATCGCCCTTGAGGTACACACCTGAGACTTTTCTCTTAACCTAAAAGATAACCTGGATTCTCGTATCCGGAGGCGCTTTAAATTTTAACAGCCAGAACCATTCAGCCGCCCTGCTCCGCCATTCCAGTCTCTCTCTCTCTCTCTCTCTCTCTCTCTCTCTCTCTCTCTCTCTCTCACACACACACACACACACACACACACACACACACACGCCGTGATGTGATACGTGTTTGTTAAGCCCTGACATTTGGAAGCAATTTGTTATGCAGAAATGGAAAAGCGAATACACCAACTGACAGAATCTCAAATGAATGTGAATCCACAGCCTGATTTCACACCCTGGAAATGCCTGAGAATGAAATCGCTCCTTGAAGACGGCTGCGTTTAGCTCACAGACAGTTGTCAGCTATCATACTTTAACAGCTAGGCTGCGCCCAGCTTGTGGAACACAGACCTTTAATCCCCACACAGAGGAGGCAGAAGCAGGTGGATCTCTATGAGTTTGGAGCCAGCCTGGTCTATACAGAAGCTAGCCAGGACTACATCGTGAGTTCCTACTTCGAAAAAAGAAAACAAAGAACTTGGTTCCTTCAGGAGTCAGAGAACTCCCTGAACTGTTTTCAGCATATGTGGACAATCTGCCCCAGAGTGCCCCAGGGCTGGGCCTGATGGAAAAGGAGTTTTACCAAAATGAAAGAGGTTAGAAACAGAAAAAACACAAATAAGTAAGCATGGGGTAATTTCATAACCGCCTCAAAGAACATGACTAATAAACCATGTGAGCCTGGCCTGGTGGCCCAGTCCTGTCATCCCTGCTCCTCAGGAGACTAATCCAGGAGGATTGCAAGTTTAAGACCAGAATGGGCAATTTAGCTAGAGCTAGTCTCAAAATAAAAGACAGGTAGCCCGGGGCAGTGCTTGCCTGGTACATACCTGGCTCGGGTTCGATCCCCCAAAGTCTGTGTGTATGGGGTTCCCTTTGGCCCTTGGAGGGAGAGTGTGTATTTATACAACGCGTGAGTTTTCCAGAATCGAAAGACTAGTGGAAATCTTTCACAGAGGAGGTGGTCACTGTTTAAAGCCCTGGCAGCCTTCGAGGCCAATGGATGCTTACCCAGCGGGAAAAACCTTTACCACACTTGAGACATAGGTGAGCACTGGGGGTGAAGTTTGGATCATGGTACTTCCTCAGGTGCACAGTAAGGAGCTGCTTCTGTCGGAAGTGTTTGTTGCAGGCCAGGCAGGAGAAGGGCTTCTCTCCCGTGTGCGTGCGCATGTGCGCGGTCAAGCATCGCTCCTGAGGGAAAGCGTGGACATAGTTGACACAGGGTGGAAGAGTCCCTTAGAACCATCTGTCATTATCATGCATTCCCCCTCAAGAGTGCTGTGACTCTCATCAGAGCCAGCGGCCGCTGCATGCTAGGGGGTCTGGGTCATCCTTCCTTACATGTGCAGTTCGAAGCCAGCCTGGTTACGAGACCCGCTCGAGAAACCAAAAGCAAAGCAAACAAAAATTCTCTATGGTCCCCACTTTGAAGATTTATTTTATTTCCTAATCAATTAACTTGTATTAGTGTGTGTGTGTGTGTGTGTGTGTGTGTGTGTATGCACGTGGGGCTATTGAGGAGGTTAGAAGAAAGTATCAGAGTCCCCGAAGCTAGATTATGGGCAACTGTGAGTCACATAGCCTACATTTGGAAAGACCATGAGTGGGAAATCCTGCCGCTGGTGTCCACTGGTGAGACGGTCACCAAGCATGGAGGCACACTGAGATCGCCACATCCCAAAGTGCATTTGTATATGTGGGTGGGGTGTAGCAGTGTTTACTGTGAGAAATCTAAACAGAGAACTCAGGGAACATTCTGAAAAGGTAAAAGAAAATCAGTACGTTTGCAACTAACTCCACATCTAACGGTCCAACGCGGGCTGGAGTGTTTGGGGCTACATATTTTTCCTGCTGAGTCTGAAACCCTCTTCAGGGAACTCAGGAGAAGCCCGCTTCTGTTCTCCCTGATCTGTGGGGCATTTGTTTAGTTTATGAGGAGAACCCAGGAGTGCAGACATGTAAAAATGAACCAGAGGGAGCTGGGGAGCCGGCTCATTGGGTAAAATGCTTCCTGTCCAAGCATAAGACTCTCGTGTTTGGATCCCCAACACCTCTGTAAAAGATGGGTGTGGTGGTGTGTCCCTGTAACCTCAGCTCTGGAAGGAGAGAGACAGGCGCTCGGGGCCCTCTATCCAGCTAATCTAATCACAGAACTACAGGATCCCTGAGTCTATGGCAAAATGTACGGTGGGAAAGCCATGAGAAAGTGACCCAGCACTGAGCTCTGGACTCGGGCAGGTTCATCCCACAGTCAGATGAGAGCCTGCTTTCTAGACATAGCCCTACTCGACTGGAAGAGTCGAGGGTCAGGAAGCTGCCAAGTTCAGCGTGGTGATAATGCTGTTTCCAAAATCTGAACTCTAGTTTTCTTTTGAGAGGTAAAGTTTTATTGGTGGCAACATGAGTTCCCTGAACTTCTCGTGTGCAGTCCAGTTGTCAAGAAAATGACCCTGAGTGCTTATCACTACAAGCAGAGTCTGTCTGCCGAGCATTTGTTCAAATGAAAATGACAACTACGAAAAAGTGGCTAGAGTTAGCCACTCAAACTACCCACTCCCTGGGCTGCAGAAGGCAGGGGAGGTGCCTTTTACAGCCTCTTTCTCTTCCCACGGGCCAAGATTTACTGTGTTAACAACCTTGACTGCATCACTGAGGGCATTTGAAATTAGTGTGTGTGTGTGTGTGTGTGTGTGTGTGTGTGTGTGTGTGTGAGTGGTGTGGGTTTAGCGTGTGCGTGGAGTCAGAGGATGCCCCTGTGGAGTTGGCTCTCCCTTTCCATGGGTTTGGGGGATGGAACCCGGGACATCAAGCTTGCTGGCACACTTCACCAGCTGAGGGAACACTTGCCAAGCAATCTCATGGCCCTTCAGACATTCTCGAGTGGCATGCCTTTTGATTTGACCTCCAGGCACGAAGATTACATCCATACCCAGTTTGATCTTGTAGGGTGTCATTGCCAGAGTTAGGGCAAAGGCACACCACCACCCTGACAACAGATGTCCACATAGGGAGGAAGTGGACCACTCTGGCACCTGCTTGGTGCTGGCCTGGCTTGGGGCGGGGGGCTGAGCATGGTGAGGAATTCAGCCCTCTCTGGGGCTCCAACTAATGGCGTGTGTGTGTGTGTGTGTGTGTGTGTGTTTGTAAGCTCACAGAGCTCTGAAGATACATTGGATCCCCTGGAGCTGGAGTTAAAGATGGCTGACTGCCACCCAACATGGGTGCTGCTATTCAAACTTTAGCCCTTATGGTGGATGGACTAGCACTGTTAACCCCTGTACCAGCTCGCCAGCCTCTAGCTTCCTTCCTTTCATTCTTTTTAAAATTAATTTTCTTATATTTTACTTTAGCAGGTATGAGCGTTTTGCTTGTTTGCATGTACATGCACCACGTGTGTACCTGGTGCCCAAGGAGGTTAGACGAGGGCATCAGATCCCCTGGGACTGGGGTTACCTCAAATTGTGGGGAGTTGTAAACCACCACATGGGTTCTGGGAGTCAAACTTAGATCCTTTGTAAGAGCAACAACTGCTCTGGAGAGCCGTGCCATCTCTGCAGCCCCTAGCCTCTTTCTTTTTCTTTTCTTTTTTTCTTTTCTTTTTGGTTTTTCGAGACAGGGTTTCTCTGTGTAGCCCGGGCTGTCCTGGAACTCACTCTGTAGACCAGGCTGGCCTCGAACTCAGAAATCCACCTGCCTCTGCCTTCCAAGTGCTGGGATTAAAGGCGTGCGCCACCACCGCCCGGCACCTAGCCTCTTTCTTAAGGATGACCGCTTTCTGGGCCCCCATCCACTCCCATGCTCACCTGCGTGTGTGAGTGGTCACAGTGACACAGTACCTGCTTGCACGCGTAATCACACTGCTTGCACTTGAACCTCTTCTCGTTCTTGTGAGTCCTCTGGTGCTGAATGAGGGCGTAGCGCTCATGGAAGCCAGCGGGACAGTAGCGACACTTGATCTCCACGGGGCTGTGGCCGTGCAGGTTGCGCAGATGGACACCTGTGAGAGCCGCGGGAGACACCGAGCTGTGGCACCATGGATGTTCAGGGACTTCTCTGGTGCGGTGAGAAGGAATGGGCACTACAGACTGTCTTCAGCACCTCAGGGCTCCCCTACCACACTAGCTTGCCTCCCTCAGAGATGACAGATTGCCTCCATATCCCGGTGAATGTCCCCCAATGGCATGACTATCCCCTGTGAGCACTACTGCTGGGAAGGAACTAAGCAGAAGGCTCCGTCTAAGATCAGTTCAGTAACCACAGAAGGTTGGTCATGAGTGTTGAGAGCCTTAGCACAGTGTAGGGCTTCAGAGCATGGCCGGGATTTTTTCTGTAACAGGACCATGACTATTGTCCTGCTGGGAGTCTAAGCCTCCTTATCTCATGACCTGAGTGATACTGTCTAGGAGGCTCTATGCGCAGCTAACCCTTAGGCCTGGTGTGCACGTGGCACTGTGTGGGGCCGATCAAAGGACACCGGTATGATGGAGGAGTAGCCTGTACCCCCAGAGATGGCACACCACCTTATTCTTACAGGGATACAAAGAGCCAGGATCTCCACAGCATCCCAACAGGGTACGGGGGCTGCAGAGGTTGCCTCTGGCCTGTGACAAACAGGCTGTACGTGGCAACTGGCTAGCAGTCCTTTGGTCCTAACAGACCCCAGCGGGCAGTGCTTTGTGGTACCTCGGGCACCACAGAGGTATTGACAGAATATTCCAGATGCTAGACAAGATTGGTCAAATAACTTTACCCCTGCAGGAATATTTCCAAAATCTCTGGAGTTTTCCAAGGCAGCTGCTTGGACTTTTATTTTTGCTAACACTTTTACTGTCTCTCTTGTAACATAATTTTTAGAGGGGGAGAGAGAGAGAGGAGGGAGGAGAGGAGAGAGAGAGAAAGAGAGAGGAAAGGAAGGAGGAAGGAAGAGAGAGAGAGAGAAAGAGAGAGAGAGAGGGAGGGAGGGAGGGAGAGAGAGAGAGAGAGAGAGAGAGAGAGAGAGAACGCACGAGTAGGGAGGCCACAGAGACCAAAGGGCTCCCTTGCCAACTCTCTGCCCTTGTAGCTCCTTGTCCTAAATAAATTCGGCCCTCCATAGCTCCCTGCCCTCCACACTCCCAGTCCGTACCAGCTTCCTCCTTCTATGTCAAAGGCTGCCCTTCCCTCACTAAGGCTTCCCAAGTGCAAGCCCAGAGTCTCTTCTGCAAGTCTGTCCAGGGTGTCCTGTGTCACAAGGGCTCCCCATAAGAGAAGGTAGACTTTGTGTCACACACTATCTATTATGGAAGCAAGTTTCTCAGGGACAACCCTGTCTCAGTTTCTTCTCTATACCCTCAGCTCCCAGCAGGGTGTACAAAGGGCAGGCTGCAGAGGGGACAGAGACAGAGCTGAACTATTGAAACGACACTCAGATCATTGGGACTGTTGCCCCTAGCAGAAAAAAACCTCCGTGTCTGTCAGTATTAGTGTCCTTACCTGTCAGAGCAAGTTCAACATGAGATAAAATAACACCCATGGATTTGATCATATCTTCTGCGGTCCTGTCCATGGCAGGACTACGCTGGCCAGCTTCTGAGCTGCACTTACTAAGATCAGCCACCAGAGGGTGGTACAGGACCTCTGTAAAAACATCTCAAGAAAAGTTTCACAGGCCTAGTGAGGGCTTCAGGAGCCTGCAGGCTCTGCAGGGTTTCGGACTGAGGGGACACGGTTAGAGGAGACACTCACGCAGGTCGCTCTTCCTCGAAATGATGGTGGCACAGTGGGGACACTCGTGTTTGGGCACATTCTCACCATGCTTCTGCGCCATATGGATTTTCATGGTCCCGCTCTGGGTGAACCGGGTGTGACAGGTGGGGCATTCGTATGGCTTCTCACCTGTGATACGAATAGAACAGCAAATGACTCACTGGAGAGTATGGCTTCCCCGTGAGCCCCAGACAGTCCCAGGGACGCTTGCTCTGGGGCTTCTTTCCCAGGCAATGTCTTTCTGTAGGTTTTAGCCTCAATGACATAGGACCCAGAAGGCAAGCCCCAGGGTCCCGGGGCCCCAGACATGGAATTCCCTGACACTGGTGGCCTCTCACCATCTCTGAGTGGTACATGAGGGGGAATGTGGAGAGGAGACTGTCCACGCGCGGTCTGTGGATGATAAGCCGACCGAGCAGGTACATGGCTCTCACCTGAGTGTGTCCGCATATGGCGCTTCAGTTTGTAGGTGTCCTTGCTGGCGTAAGCACACTGGCAGCACTGGAAGGGGCGCTCGCCTGTGTGTGAGCGGATGTGGCGTTTCAGCTTGCTTGCCTAGGACATGTGGAAGAGGGTGGTCAGGCCTTCAGCTAACCAGTGTCACATGAGAGGTGAGAAGCTTGCCTGGCAGCTCATGGCTGCAACCACAGCACTGAGGAATCTGAGGCAGGGGGATTGCTATAGTCCAGGCCCCATTTTAGGCTACATCAAGATACCCAGGCGCCCCCAAAATACCCAGAAAGGAAACCTAGGTGTGACAGTACATGCCTGCAATTGCAACTTTGGGAAAGTTAAGGCAGGAGGATTGCTGCAAGTTTGAGAACACCCTGGGCCATGTAGTGATCCCGAGGCTATCCTGGACCACAGAGACCCTATCTCAAAAAAGCAAAGGGAAAAACGTAAGCTAACCAGACCTCAGCATCTACCAGGGTGTCCCATGAAACAACAACTGCCCATTCTGCTGCTTCTTGGCTTTGTCACTGCTGTGTGCACAAGGTTCCCTGGGGTTAATGAGCAATGGTTGAAAGACTTCCTCGCTAAATATCACTTTTACAAACAGAAACAGGGCTCTCTGCTCAGCCAGTGCTGTGTATGTTTCTATCTTTATGTCCAAGGCCTGGTCCTCTAGCAGCAGTAAAGTTTAAGCCACTTGTAAACACGCAAGCCGGAAAAGCTTTCTGAAGTGGAAACCTGACCCATTAGCTAAACAGAGAGTCATCTGTGAAGTGCCAGAGTTCAGAGACCTCGCCAGTATTCCACTAACGAGGTTCAAGACAAACAGACCCCTCACCCTGAAGTGTGGTCCTATGTGCTACTGCCTGCTTTTAAAATGTTTTCGGGACAGGACTCTTTTTGTGGTTGAGGCTGGCCTGGGCATCCAGTGAGCAATCCTGCTGCCTTAGCCTCCTGTGTGCTGGTCTTGCTTTTCTCACTGGGGAGGCAGGGGCAAGGGGATCTGTGAATTTGAGGTCAGCCTGGTCTATTTAGTGAATTCTGGGCCAGCCAAGGCTACAGTGTGAGTACTGGGCCAGCCAGGGCCACATCTTGAGATGCTGCCTCAAACACAAAAGTAACAAGGAGGGAAGTTTTAAGTGGAAGAGAACGAACTCTATCAGGCCATGAAGTAGGAGACAGCATGGACCTTCTCATTCATCACCGCAGCTGGCTTCCCTGTTTTCTGGAACATTCTGATACCACATCCTCACTGCAAACCCTTCCTGGGGTTTCCTGGGGAGCAGGGCCCTCAGCCACACTGGGCTGGAGGCTCAGGAATCAACATCAACCCTGCTTACACTCAGAAAGAGTGCATGGAGCCACTTCCTGGAAGGCAGGAGGCACACCCAGGCCAGAAGACTGTCCAGGAACAGAAGAAGGTTCCCAGTGAAACACAGGATTCCAGATGAACGAACACAGGATTCCAGATGAACGACTCAGTTTTTTTTTTTTTTTTTTTTTTTTTTTTTTTTTTTTTTTTTTTTTTAAGGAGAAATATGGAAACCAGGCTGTTGTGGTGTTTGTCTTTAATCCCAGCACTCGGGGCAGGCAAATCTCTATGAGTTTTTAAATCTCTATGAGTTTAAGGCCAGCCTGGTCTACAAAGTGACTTCTAGGACAGCCAGGGCTTCACAGAGAAACCCTGTCTCAAACAAAACAAACCCCAAAACCCAAAAACTCAAAAACCCAAACCAAAAACCAAAACCAAACCAACCAATCAAACAAAAAAAAAACCAAACAAACAAAATTCCCCCAACCCAAAACCAACCAAGCAAGCAAGCAAGCAAGCAAACAAACAAACAAACAAACAAAACCGAGGAAGAGAAATAATAATAATAATATGGGAATTGTAGGAAGGAAAAAAACTATTAGCATGGCAGTGTGGGAGGGTTCAGGACTCAGTGTAGCACTTGATAGGTTAGCGGTGGCAACATAAGCCATCCCTACCCGGCTTCTTGAGGTAAGCAGGCCCTCTACCACCGAGCCACACCTCCAGCCTGGTTTTAAGCTCACGATGTAGTCCTGGCAGGCCTTGAACTTGGCTCCAAGGGGGCTCAAGGAAGTGCAGAAGCATGAGAACCTGCTGTGTCTAATCCCCTGCCTTGCTCCTGAGTCAAGGGTAGGGCGGGAAGGAGCTAGCTCATCACCCTACTTCACTGTTAGCCAGCAAACACAATGGCGGTGGTAGCACAGTGGTCAGTGCCCCACAGGCCATCCCTGGGCTGCATGGACCATGGACCCTCTGCCACTGGGCAAGATCGCAGAGCCTCGGTGTCCCCTTGTTGGACACCTTCTGCTCCCTCACAGAGTGGCCACAACCTTTGCCTCAGATAGGAAAGCTCTTTTTAAAAATAGCCATGGCAGAAAGAGGTTCTTGGAATCGAATTCTGACCCGTCTGTGAAGTGCCCCAATTTATGAAACACACTTGCGCCATTGCTGGGTTGAAACTTCCCCTGTCCCCTTTAGCTTAGTTCCTGTTGGAAGTCTCTGCTCTGGCCTCTTAGCCCAAGCTCCCCGCCAGGATGCAGCCAGCTTCCTCACACGATATGGAGCCTTGGACATGGACCACTAGGAAGCAGACCTGACCAGGAGATGCCCGCCACACACAGCCTTTGCTTTTCCGAGGGAACTGATGGAAAGCGGCACGAGCTTCTCAGGAAGCTGAGGTAGGAGCATCTCAAGTTCAAGGCCTGCTTGGGTTGCAGAGTGAGTTCAAAGTCAGCCTGAACAACTTACTGAGACCCTGTCTCAAAATAAAAGACATAGCTGAGGACACAGCTCAGAGGTAGAGCCATTTGAGACCCTGGGTCCAAACCCTAGAACCACACACATGCCTATGTGTGCAAACGTGCATGCTGGTAGTACAGTGTATGTACAGGGTTACATCTTCTGTCTGTCCAGGTGGTGCTGGGACAAAGCTCAAAAGCTTCAGGCCAAATTCCCAAGTCCTGTGGTGGTGGGGGCATTCTAATTTGTGGCCCCAACTGTGACGTAAGATACTGAAAAGGCTTTTTCAGCAAGTCTGAGAGTTCTCTCCTTAGTGTCTAAGTTTTTATATTTTGTGCATAGGAGTGTTCTGCCTTCATGTATGTCTGTATACCACATGCACGCCTGCTACCCGGAGGCCAGAGAGGGAATAGAATCTATTGGAACTGGAGGTACAGACATCTGGTTGTAAGCAACCACATGGGCGCTGGGAATCAAGCCCAGGTCCTCTGTGAGAGCAGCCGATCCTCGTAACCACTGACCATCTCTTCAGTCCCGGCAGCTAAGAGCATGTATAACTCTGCAGAGGACCCAGGTTCTGTTCCCAGCACTCCTGCCAAACAGCTTCCAACCACCGTACCTCCAGCTGCCGAGAATCTGACATCTCTTGTTCTCCTCAGTAATCTGCATTGACATGGACATACTACTCCCCACCCCCAATTTAAAAATAGAAATAAACATAGATAAATCTTGTTGGAGAGGAAGCAAGATGATTTGGCTGGTAAAAGCACTTGCTGCCAACCACAGTCTGAGCGTAACCATCAAGGAGAGAACCGACTTCATCACATTGTCTTCTACACCGAGCTGACCTTGAACTTACAGCAATCCTCCTGCCACAGTGCTGGGATTATAAGTACTTGACATTAGTTGGATGATAATACCTGTAGCTTCTAGCATAGATTTGAAAATGTATCTTTGGTGATTAGTTGGGTAACAGGTTAGGGACCCTCAGGGTGTACAGGGCTGACTGAGTGTGCCCCAGGGTGGTGATTTCTCGATATCGTGTGGGGCTGACCATTAGGGAGCTCACCTCAACGCTGGCATACTTGCACAGGGAGCACTTGAAGGGCTTCTCGTGAGTGTGTTTGTAACGTCTGTGCCGGACAAGCTCTCCGCTGGTGACAAATGCCATGTCGCAGTCTCCGCACTTGTAGGGCCTGGTTCCTGGAAAAATCACACGGTTTACACTTTCCCAACAAGACTTAACTTCGAAACTTCCAGTGACTTTCTAGTTTTGAAACGGCAGTCTGAAAGGCTTCAGCAATTAAGAAGTTCTTTGAACTATAAATACCGTAGATGTACAAGACAGAACTGTGGGTAACAGTCAGTGCTTTTAGCTGAAACTCAAGAAGGCGTTGGGGGTGGGGGTGGGGTGGGGCAAAACTAAACTGGGGATGGCGCGGCAGGCTTGTAACCCCAGCACTCAGAAGGCTAAGGCAAGGAGATTGCCGGTTAGGGATCAGCCTGAGCTACAAGAGAAACCCTATTTTCACAACAAAAATAAAACAGGGAAAAAAAAAAACCCTAAACATAAATACGTTCACAATGCAACCCCCCTTCCTATTGGAGACAAGGCTCAAATGCTCCCTGGATGCTTATAATAAGGTTTAATTAATAAATTGACATTAAAAACCAGAACCAGCAAGGATAAGAGATTGACAGATGGGTGAATTGGGTCTGTCCCCAAACCTATCATCCGATTTTCTCAGGGAGCTGAGGCTGAAGGATCACAAGTTCCAGGCTAATTGGGGCAACCTAGACCTCTCAAAAGAAAAAGAAAAGGCTGGGGATACAGGCCAGCGGTGGCGCACTTGTCTAGCATGCTTGAGACCCCTTGGTTAACCCTCAGTGCGAGGGAAACTGAGTTTAGCAGCTGTTGAGAGAATACCAACAAAAACTGTTTAAATCACGCACTGAGGGGGAAATTATTTAAATGTTTGAGTTGCTTCTTCTGCGGTTTTCCTGTATTTTTCCAGTGCTGAGGATAGGACCTGGGGCCCTGCTGGGCAAGTTCCACCCACAGCTTCTAGGACTTTCTGCAGACAGTGAAGCCTTAGGTGAAGACAGAACTTGCTGGCCCTCCCTGCACCTCCCTGAGATTTATGGTGCGTCTGTGATGGAAGGCCACCCTGGGCGCCTCACCTGTGTGGGTGTTGACATGGTTCCTAAGGAGAGTGACAGTCCGGAAGGCCTTCAGGCACAGGTGGCACAGGTGTGGCCTCTCGTCGCTGTGAATTTTGATGTGGCGGTTGTAAGTTGAGAATTTGGAAGAAGTGAACGGGCAGGTGTCGCAATGAAAGATCTGGGGTTTTCCTGTAGAGAGAAGACACACAGTGATGCAGCGGGAAAGATCTTCCTCGAGCAGTTCCTCAGAGGCCAACATGACTTCCTTGGCCTTGTGCTGTTCAGGAGTGTGAGATGTCTCAAAACCTCAGGACACCCTGTTCTTGAAGAAGAGCATCTTGTTAGGAAATACCCAGCTACTGTTTCCTGCCACAGGACTGTCCAGGTCCCTAACCCATCCTCCCTGGTGTTCACAATGGACAACAGTGGGGGCCACAAACACTGGTAACTCTAATTTCAGGGTATCTTCTGCCCTCTTCTGGCCACAGTGGGAACTGAACACAGGTGGTGCATAGAAATACATACGCATGCACACATAAATTAAAAATAAATCAAACTTAGCCATGCAGCATTGGCTCACACCTCTAATCCCAGCACTCAGGAAACAGAGTCAGACGGATCTCTGTGAGTTCGAGGCCAGCCTGGTCTACAGAGTGAGTTCCAGAAACCAAGGCTATACAGAGAAACCCTGTCTTGAAAAGCAACAAACAAACAAACAAACAAACAACATCAGTCTTTTCAAACTGTTATTTACAGTGTGGTGTAGACTGTGGAGGACAGAAGACTGCTCAAAGCATGGAGTCCCAGAAGCAAGTCTCCCATAAATATGGACTCTGTTGGGTAAAATGAAGACACACCCACCCCTCCAAATGCCGTCTCAGAATCCTCCACCAAAGCCAGGGGAGCTCTGGGAATCTGGCGTGAAGCTAAACAAAGCCACAGCCCACAGCCACATGTGACAATTTAAATTTGTATCTAAAATAACCCAAAACAAAAACCAAACATGACTCCTTGTTTGAGTGACACCAGCCACACACGGGTGGTGGCTGCAGTCCTGGAAACATTTCTTTCCTGTACCTCTGATGTTCCACTTGGCAGAGCCAGGCTGTACAGATGAGTGAGGACATCCTTCTCCCAGAAGACAGCCGTGAAGGGGGGATGCAGCCTCAGCTAGCACTTCCTGACAAAGCTGGCGGGGAGCTGGCTGAGAGCAGTTCCTAGTTTCCTGCGCTATGGGGGATCTCATCTGCTGTTTGGAGACACTGGACTTGCTGACCACAACCATAGGAAACTCACACAAGCAGCCAAGCCTGGAAGGCGTTTCTCCACAGAGGACACATAGGTGGCCAATATATGCTTGGAAAAACACCCATTAGAAAGATATAAATAAAAGCAACAAGATTCTCTTCCACACCTGGTACCCACAGAAGGAGACACTTGGTCAGGGTGTGGAGACACGAGCTTCCTACACTGCAGGTGGCTGTGGAGATCATTCGGAAGTTTCTCAGAAAGTTAAGCATGGAGCTGGAGAGATAGTGTGGGAGAATCTTTGTAAGCAACCATGAGGTCCTGAGTTCAAATCCCCAGCACCTGTGTAAGAAGCTAGGCATGGCCGTGCATGCCTTTAAATTCCAGTGCTGTGGGGGCCGGAGACAGAAGGATCCCTGGAACTTGCTGGGATTCCTCCAGTCTAGGGAGACAGAATTGACCCGAAGAGAGTAAGTAAGGTAGAGAGAGATTTAGCAGAATATTCTACGGCCTCTTCCTCTGGGGTCTCCACATGCATTCATGGGCATGCACACACCCGACACACAACACGCACACATACACACACACACACACACACAGACACACAGACACACACACCACATAACACACACACAGACACACAGACAAACATACAAAGAGCCATCCCCTAAAGTAAGGCACATAAATAGCCATGGCCAAACCATTTACAATATAGCCAAAGAGCGGGAACAACCTCGACCTCCAGCAAAGGAGGAATGGATAAATAACTGTGGTATGTCCATACAATAGAATACTAGGCAGCTGTGAAAAAGGAAATGCTAATATATGTTACCGTATGGATGAACCCTGAAACTATACTAAGCAAAAGAATAAAGAGCCAGAGGACACATGGTTTAAGAGTATTATTATGAACATATTAGTCCATATGTCCATATCAAAAAAAAGTATACTGATGATTCCTAGGTCGTGGAGGCCGGGGATGGAAAGTACAAAGATGGAAGAGATGATAGGGTGCTAATGCTTGTGTGGGATTGCAAATATATTAAATATATTACAAACTGGAAAATTTGGGGCTTCTACCTCATGATTGATAGTATGCATCATTACCATAAGGCAAGGAACCAAATTTCTACCTCCAGAGGCAGAAACCTACTGGAGGACTCTGGCCACATATAGGGAATTGAAGTGTTGGCATGGTGGCTGGTCCCCTAGTAAACTGAGTCACCTCCTTCCCTACCCTGGCTAACAGAAGAGGAAGGTGGCTTTTTAGTGGTGTTTTTTTTTTATTCTGTCAGGACTGGGGAAGGAAGCCAAGGTCTCATGCACACTGAGAAAGTGCCGAGCCACTCACTGAGCCGCTTCCCAGTCAGACCGAACTTTTTAAAGGTCACCTAGAAATTGAGATGATGGGATGGAATGTCTCCATTTAAATAAGTGAGAAATTATTTTGAAAGAGCAGCCCACTAAACCACCGTGAGAGTCAAATGCTTCCTGTGGGTTGCTAGGATGCTGTCTATTGCAATGTTAGAATGGGACCTCCCCAGAGTCTCACAGGCCCCTCCCTGCCTCTGAGTGCCCAACACTGGGATTCCGTGACAGGGCCGTGCAGGAAGGTCACTCTTTTGCTGTCTTGACACTCCATCCCAGATCCTAGCCTGGCTTCATTCTCCATGAAAGTCTCCAGCCTGCCTCTCCTTCCTGGCCTTCAATCTGATTCTGTCTGTCTTTCTGACTCTCACGTTTGCTAGTTCCCTTTTCTAGCCTTCTGCAGGAAGGACGTTCTGGTCGTCTTCCCTAAGCTGTGCCTCTTACAGAGCTCGCTGCCTTGGTCTGCAATTATCTCCCTGAACACTCCCAAGGAACTGCGAGCCAGAAAACAGGGGCCAGGGCCCAGCCTGAGATTCATGTGTGCAATGCTTTCTGGAATGTTTAAAAACAGCTTTTTAAATCTGTCTGAGTGTGAAATGGGGAAAAAAACACTTAGGGGTTTGATTTACAATATAGAACATCAGTTTAAAATTTCTTCCACTTCCTGATGTTCTGAAAGAAACTTTTAGAAGTCAACACTTCAGACTTCAATAATTGCCACCCTCCCACAAGAAAACCAGTGTGTCAGAGTTGGCCAGCCTACCCTTGGTCCGCCTTCGAGGTTTTGCGGCTTTGGCTTTCGGCTCATTTGTCTCCTTCACTGATGGTGGATCTTGCTGCTCTTCTAGGCTTAGATGGGAAATGGTCAGAACAATTTCGTCTTTTCCTTCTTTTGGTTTCATTTCCACAAAGAGGAATCTCTCTTCTTTCTTGTCTGTCCCTCCCTGGGGCAGGAGCTGGTCCTTTTCATCTTCTTCAGGCTAATAAGTCAAAACGAGCAAGCAGAGGCAACACTATGAGTTACAATCTGATAAAATTCTTCATTCTGGCAAACTACACAATACAGAAGAGAAAGCAAGCACGTAAGACCATGTACCGGCATTAATGCTTGCTAGGTCATTGGTAATTCAGAATCGGGGGTTCTGTGGGGAGTCTGTCTTTGTTGTTGTTGGGTTTTTTTGTTTGTTTGTTTTGCTTTTTGCTTTTTTTTTTTCAGGGAGTTGGGGCAGGGTCTCAGGTAGTTGAGCCAGCCTCAAACTCACCATGTACCTGAGGATGGACCTGAACATCTAATCCTCCTGCCTCCACTTCCTGAATGTCAGAATCACAGGGTACCACCAAGCCAGGTTTATAAGGTGCTGGAGATTAAACCCAGGCTCCGTGCATGTCAGGCAAAGCTGAGCTACATCTCCAGGACAAAATATTTCTTTTTTAAAAACCATAATGTACCTTATCTTAATAGCATTATTTCCTGTAATTTTTTACCTTTTTAAAAGTCTTTAAACACACAGATAGCTATGCATATTTATATATGGTTATGTATATGGCAAGGTCTTGTTATTTTGCTTTCCAACTTCCAATATATGGTCTATAGATATTATCGCTCAAAGCCTCAATCTAAGAAAAGTCAGTTTCAGCTTTTTCTATCCCACAAGGCATTGGTGTGTAAGAACAAACCATACCTTCTTCAGGGCCGTGCTTTCGTCTAAGTCTGGTGTTAACTCTTGGTCCTCCTCGGGTAGATTCTCCTGCAGCAGGTGAAAACGCATCAGCTCCAGTTCCTCTGGTGGGTACAGGTCTTCCGGGATGCTGACGGTCACGCAATGCTGAAGGCTGAGCTGGGGCTCTGGGTCGAGCCACAGCACGGACGGCAACTGCAGTATGCTTTCTCCCTGTGGTACCGTTCCTGGCTGTTCCTCGGAGTGTGGCACGCTCAGCCATCCCAGCCCCTGTAGGTGCACATCCTGGGACACCAGGTGCACGGTTTGCAGGGTCAGGATCTGCCTATCGCTCTCCACCGGGGCCCTCGAAGGCAGGTCCTGGGGCCTGGCATCCAGAAGCAGGCAGCTGTCCTCGGCCTCCGCTTCCTCAACAGCTCCCTCCTGGGCTTCCACTCTTTGTAACCAACCCTCCTCTTTTTCCTCCTCTAGGTCTCCGGGCTTCAACTTCTGCTCTTTGATCTGGGTGAAGTGCCCAGAAGGGACAGGGACCTCAGCGGCAGCCATGGTGACGTCCCCTGATGGAAAGAGAGCATGCAATATTTATGGGGTGCAGAGGGGCCGGGTCCTAGTGGACATGGACTTTGATCAAGGTATACAAGACGGGACCAACATCCAGGCCAGGTTGGACTCCGTAGTGAGACCGTGTCTCAACCCCACTCCCACACCTTGCAAAAGTCTCTAGTGGGACTTAGGTGATAATCCAACATTCTAAATCCCGGGCTGGGCTCGGGACGGTGAAGGGTGGTGGTTTACGCTGGCAAGGTCCAGGGCTGAGCAAAACCGGGGTCAGCCCCCCAACTCCGTGGGACACTCGAGGTCTTTAGGGCAAAGCAACCTCTCTTTGGGCCTCGTGGCTCTTGGCAGCCATATGCACACGGCCCACCAGCCTCCATGCCTGCCTCCCAAGCTCGCGCCCCGCCCGTCCTGCCCCACCCAGCCTCACCCCACCCATGCCCATGCCCCCTGGTGCTCCCCAGGAGGCAGAGGCGCCCCAGGGCCTCACCACGGAGGCAGAGCCTGGCCTGTCGACCGCGTGGCCGCCACCTTGTCACCTCGTGCTAAATTGCTCTTCGTGCAGCAGCTGCTGCCACCACCTCCTTCTACGAGAGCCCTGCGCAGGTGCTGGCGGGAAAGGGGTGGAGCCAAGGAGAGAGAGATGATGGAGATGGAGGAGCGGAGTAAGGGGCACAGGACCCCGAGGGGGCGCTGGAGTCCTGGTGGGGGGAGGATGATGGACAGAGAGGAAGAGATGGAGTCCTGAGGGGGCGCTGGAGTCCTGGGGGGGATGATGGACAGAGAGG